TGACTCATACAAATCGATTGATTAGTTGCATCTTTCCAAGTCGTCGTCCGAAATGCTTACCCAGAGCAGGTTTCTAATTCGCATATTTCCAACTCGCCATGATAAGTTAAGTGCAGTTACTAAGAGTTGCGCAAATCAGTAAACCAACAAATAATTACCTCATTCCATTTCATGGTTCATCRAACTTAAAACTGAARGCGAGAAAGGGGCATGGCTTTTGAGCGCTGAGAGGATAGATGGAGAAGGTTCCTGTCCTTTCACATTCACAAGAGATTGAGGCCGATCCACAGGAAAAATTGCGCTTTCAATCTTTACGTTACGAGACTGGCCCCACTCTTCGTTTTCCTCCCTTCACTACATTACTTAGTAGGTCAGTACCTTGACAGCCATCACTATAGCAGCCCTTTATCGTCAACAAAACCTAAGAAGTGAAAAAAGGAAGCCGCCTTCCCGCATGCGTTCGAAGAGTTAAGTAGCTAGGTCATCGGAATAGGCGGAAAACACAGATTTGATAACACAGTTTATAGGACCGACAGATTATCATTCGCTGTCCGGCGACGAGGCCTGCCACATCTTCGCCATTTTGAAGCTCCAAGGTCGAAGCACGCGTTATCTTCCAGTAATCAGCCCATTCGTGGCCAGATGAAGCATCCCCTCACCTTAGTCTTTGTCAGATGCTTCGTCAAGAGCCTCCCCTTCCCCTGAGTAGTAATCCAGATCTGTGTCCCTATCATGGCAATCCTTCCCCTCTTCTAGCGTAACCCTGACCGTTTTCTCTGCGCTGGTTTCTGGGCCCAGCTGAATGAGCCACCTTCCGCTCTGCGCCCCCGTGAAGTCCATCTTCTTCTCTACCTTGAGCGCKGCCAATCCTGACAACCACAACTGGGATCCMTTGCAGAACCAGGTCACCAGTTCGAGATCCTTCCCTCCGCCTTCCTTTAGCGTACGGAGGATGAACTCCTTCGTTTTTAGCCCTCCTTCTCCTCCTCRTCCTGATTMCCTCAGCCATCCTACAACTTCCCTGAGCAGTCCAGGAATCATTACTGTCCGTTCCACATCCTGCGAGGAGGACACCTAGGGCGAGGAAGGCGCACCGCCCCTCATCTCTAGAACGCCGCCGGGCCTCCCTGGTGAGCATTTTCAACTCCTCGAGTTCCTTGTCCTCAATACTACCTATCATTCCGCTGCACGCTAGGGTAGCTGTTGAGAAGGCCAGGATATGGCCGTGAAGCCAATCGTCCCTCATTCTTAGCCAATGGCCTTGGTCTACCACCCACAATTGCGTATTCCCTATGAAAAAACAGAAGCACCTCGTTCCCAGATAGGTGGCAAGAAGCTCGTCCCTGCTGGTCTTCCTGACCCAGCTCATCAATGGTTTCCTCGCTTGGATACCTCCCACATCCCATGCTTCTAGTAGGCCTGAGTCCTCAGGACGGGAAAGCGTTCCTTCCTCGCAATCTAAGACCAGGTAACCTTCTAACTTTTCGCAAAACCTAAGAAGCTTCTCCTCTCTACCTCAAGTTTCTCTACCTCTCGCTCGAATCTCAAGAGAGCTTCTTCCTCGAAGAACCCAGGAAAAGGGGGCGAAGCCACAGTCGGGCGGCCCCCGTCTTCCAGTACTCTTCTAGGCATACCGAGCTGATTGCCCATTTTAAAATAATCAGTTGATTGAATCTCCTTCCTTCTTCTTCCTCCTCCTTCCTTCCAAACCCCCTTCCCTCTTTGGAATTCACCCCAACGCTTGGCGATCSTCTAAGTTCCGAGACTTCCTATCGGTATCCTTCCCTTGCTCTGAACTCGCTAGACTTGTTAGTATCAAACTTCCATCCGCGATTCTCTTCAGTCCGGTATACGTACCGCCAATGTCCCSTGATCCTTAGCCCTWCCTGGAGCCGCRCGACATAAGCGTTCCTCACCAGCTATATCCTCACAACCTGTTTCGACCTACAGGTTAGCAACCATCTCTTCCATTGTCCTCAGATAATAGCCATGCCCAAGTAATGAGAAGAAGAACAGTACGGTGTAGCGTTCCCTATTCTTAGCAGAGCGAGGTGGAGGAGGTACAGCGTTCGCGGCCCGGCGAGGAATCRGGTGAGTTCCTCGTTTCGCAGCATAAGCATTCTTTAACAGCTAAAACCACACAAGCCGTTTTGTACTACAGGTTAGCAACCATTTCGAATAGCAGGCCATTCCTCCCTCTGTCCTCAGGTAATAACCATGGTAGGTAACAGGCGAGTAAAATCCGTACTCCCGCACTAACCCTTCCCTAAGCAATGAGAAGAAGAACAATACTGGGTCAGCGTTCCCTATTCCTAGTWGAGCAAGGTGGTGAAGATACCGCGTTCTCGGTCCGGCGAGCAATCAGGTGAGTTCCTCGTTTCACAGCATGTCCCACTCTGGTGAGAAAGGTAACGAAGAGCTTACCTCAGTATACCCGTAAAAAATCGAACGGTCTGCGCTCCTCCAAGAATAGGAAAAGACCTCCTCAGAGGGACTAACCAAGCAAAACTGTTCTTTCGCAGGTACCAGAACGTGATTGCCTCGGCGCAACCGGGCGACAGCCTTGCAGTTCCCAACTCGGTGCTTGGGGCTACCGGAATGCCACAAATAGCAAAGATGTCTTCAGCTGCATTGATGCCCTCTGATATAGCTCAACTACTGTATCCAGCGGCGGACCCTCAGTGAGTCCTCCTGCATATTCCTGTGTCAGCCTTCAGATCTGCGC